GCTAAAAAAGCTAACACTGAGTGGCTAAAGCTAAAAAAACAAATAGCTACATGCTAAAAAGGAGCAAGCTAAGAWATGCTAGCTCAAAGATAAAAGTAGTAAAACATTTGTAAAAGTAATAAAAATGCTAGTTAAGACGAAAGTTGCAAAGTTTAACRGAAGACGCAAAATAGTAGCTTGAAACAACAAGTAGCAAGAGTATGCAGTAGCAAATCGCAAACACAAATCTTTTGAACGACTCTTTACAACAAATGATGGGAGCCAAGTCACGGGCAGCAAAGAGCTGTTTGTAGTTTTGTTTTCTTAATTCTTCATTCTTTATTTGTTCATCCTTAAATCGCTGCCACTTTGCTTTTTCACGAAAAACAAGCAGAGCGGTGGAGTACATAGGGTGGGGTTTCCACTTGACAAAACCCATGGTTCCACCCACATATGACGTCATCATGTACGGCAACGTGACGACGTATTTCCCTATGTGATGATGCAACTCGTTCAAAATTGAACGGTTCTTTTGAACAGCACTGTGAAACAAACGGCTCCTTTTATCCCGTCTCTGAATAAAACATGAAGGAAATTCAAGCAAATAATTRAACTATTAGGCAAATTCTGAGCCTTTAGAACCAAAATGTATTTAAAAAATACAAATAAAATGCTTCACATCTAAATACAAAATGTGTTCACACAAAATCTAAAATTTTAATCATTTTCTAATGTTTCTGTATTCTTTGGGGCGGGTCGAACATTACAAGAAGAGGCTTTTCTCCTGACATTAAAATCAAACAGTCCCAGCTGACAGACTGAACCATGATGTATACGTCTGGTGCATTAGAAGAGCAGTTTTCTCCCAGCTTAAAGTGGCAGCTCTTTGATTTACTCTGATGGAAAACAGAGCATGTTGAGACAATCTTCCCAGCAGCTCCAGCTTTGATGTCTGGAGAGAGAGAAGAGACTCGGGGACCTCGCACGGATTCATGTGGAAGAACAAGAATGGCTCTTTTAAAACTCTGGCTTTAAACCGTAATGGGCGTGGGATTCTGCCGATCCCACCTGGTGCTGCTTTGCTCACCTGGAACGGGCCAGTTCTTTTAACCCATCATTCAAAAAAGGCTCCATTTTCTTCTTCTTTTCAAGAATACTGTTTCCTTCTTGAATTCTAAATTTTATCCAAGTATTTAAATTTTTATGTAACTTTTTTTACATCTTCAGCTTTTTTGAGTCACAAGCTGCAAAACCTCTGGAGAATCGAAAAGATGAACGACTCAAAGTCAAGTAAAATCTGAATGAACATTAGGCATCAACTAAAACACCAGTTTCAAGTGGGTTAAAGATGCTTTTATTGAAACAAAGTTGTTGCTGTTTTTAGTAACTTTATCACTTCTGAAAATAATGCAGCAACATTTCAAATCCTTTCTGCTGAAAAAGCCAAGGACGTCTGAATTTATGCTTTCAAAATTATGTTTTTGGCCTTTTTTTTTAAACATGAATAACTTTTAACAGTTTGTGCGTGTTGAAGGTCAAGTAGAAACCTTGCACATATTCTTTTCAGTATTCACCTGCGTAACTCAGACAGAATGTGATTCAAACTTTGAATGAGAGGAAAAAAGATTCATTCAGAAAGCAACAGCATGGCATTGAATAGCTCAGGGTTCATTTAGTCAGAAGCTGATTCACAATTTTTATTCAGTCCGTGTTTCTTTTTAATTGATTCGATTCAGTGAAAGTTCAGTGAAATAAAGTTATTTCAGACTCAGACGCAGCTGCCAAACAGCAGAGTTACTAAACCCAGCGTTTTGACTTGAAGAGGATTTTATTGCACAAATACACTTATTATTGTTCTGTTTGTCTTTTTTTAAAGACTTTTTCAAACACTTAAATGAGAAAGATTGGTGTGAAAAAGAGGCATGTGTGTTATAGGCTGTGTCCAAATTCAGGGGCTGGGTCCTTTGAAAGGCCTGGCCTACCCGGTCTAGGTGGGCCGGGTCTTTGGTCGACCGTGAAGACCGGACGAAAGTGGCTGTGAATTTGGACGGTCTAGTCTGCTTTATTCCCATCCTTACCCCGGCGTAGCTCCTGTTGCTAGCAAATATGACTATGCTAACAGAAGAAAATATAGATTAAATTAGCAAAATATCATATATTGGTGTTATAAATATCATAAAACAACAAAATAAGCTTAAAGGCAGTATGTGAAGAACTAAAGGACCCTCCGTACGTCCAGCTCGTTTGGTTTCTGACCAGAATAATATTAAAAACAAATGATGGAAGCATTAACAACACAATCGCTTGAAACAGATTTTAAACCACCAGGTTTTTATTTAAAACTGTATTCCTTTCTCCTGCTTCATCCACCATTATGAGCAGGGGAAAAAAATCTGCTGTCGGCCCGCAATGCATTATGGGATATGGTGGGCCAAAAAGGATCCACTGGACCTGTTCCTCAAATGGGGGGAAAAGGAGAGCGCATTTGTCGGCCACATCAGAGGTGTCTTCGAATTTGGACACATTTCTTCTTACTGATGTGACTAAACTCCTTGAAATTGGCCTCTGTCTCTTTAAGAACATCCTACCATTTCAAACACTCCCACTTCAGCACTTTTTCAAACAATGCTCTAGTGGAAGGGTGCTCTGCTTGGCTGCAGACTGATCTCCAGGGAGGAACTTTGGGTAAAAATGGGCGGAGCTTTGTACCAGCAAGTATCTATGTAGCTCCAACATGCATGAATGAGTCAAAGCAACACTCTGGGTGTGTTTTTGATGAAGGAATGACATTATAGGATACAAAGCTGAAAAAAGCCTACTTATGCTTAATGTCACCCCTTTAAAAAGTGCCAGTCACAGTTTGTTATACAGTATATATATATATATAT